CAGCATAATCCAAATTTAATTGAATACGCTTATCCTGTTAAAAAACTAATTTTTAAAGCGTCTTCAAAAAAACCTTTTCGCTGTCTCCTCAATCCATCTACATATGCCATGACTGAAATCTCAAATAGAACAAAAAAAAACGATTAATTTTGAAAAAAAAATTGAAAAAAATTTGAGAACATTAGAAAAACGTCTAAAATTTAAAAAAAAAAATTTCTATGGGGGATTAGAAGGGTTCCCCCCCCCAAAAAAATATAAGAACAGAATACTTCTCGCAGAGATGGAACGTTTTCTGAAATTCCCCCCCCCGTTCCCACAAAAAGGCTACTATTCGGCTACTGATACCCTAGATACTGGGGACTTACGCCTCCCAGCCCATGACGAGTGAAGACGAGCTCCACCCCATGGACCATGGGAACCGCCATGTTCATAAATTATATTCCCCCATAGCCGAGACTGCTTAGGTACAGATCCTAGCCAGTACTTCACAGAGCGCTCTGCGTAGATTCCCGAGAGGGGCATGGTGTCTAAGAGAAGTTAACAGACATATGCCCCCGTTTATTGACCAGTTTCATAAGAAAAGATTACAGTGCCAGGAGAGGCTTTAGCAAATTTGTTTACTACAATTTAGGCCTAATTTATACATATAATAAATAAAACGTAATAATATATTAACCTATATAATAGTATAAGAAGCTTCGAATTTAACAAAAAGAACACATACTAGAATGGCGACATTGGGAACTGAATATAAATAATTGTCATGCGCGTGGTTACCAGTTTGGCGTAATCTGAAACTTTGGCGATATCTTCTAAGGTGGTTGCGATAATACAGATGTCTGTTTACGAGAAGAAGAGCTCCCGCCACAGTGTCTGGCGGGTTGCAGTCGTTATAGCAACAGGGCTAGTATATTTCAAATAGGGGAGAACCAAGAGTTGCTTTATTGTTATTTCCTTTTTGGCGAATGTTGGCAGGGTAAAAGAGTTTATCATTCATCTTCAAGACACCCCTACGGAAAATGGGTCAAGGCTTGTTTCTATGGCAACAGACAGCTGCGGACTAACTGGCGAAAGCTTTTCTTGTGATAGAGAGACTGTACCGAAATTTTTTGGTGCCTCTTTTATAGAATACCTAGGGAACTTTTTGTGGTGCCTACTTTCCTTGATGCCCTAAGCATATGCTTACATTGCTTACTGGTTAACCCAGCCCTGGTCATAAGCTCTGAAGCTGCCAGATGATAATATTATATTAATAAGATTCCTATAGTCTGCGGTATTATAGCTGCATAGCTACGGGAATTTTTAGAAAAATGTTGAAATGGCTTATGGACAGTCTAATAAACATTTCGATAGAAACTGAAATACCGTTAACCTCTAAATTACCTACATTTAATCTGTAGTTTCATTTATACAAATATTTTGTTTTAAATAAATATTTTTAAAATTTTTTGAAGATATAAGGTGCGTATTTCAAAAATACTGTCAGAAGTCTATCTACGAGTTTTTCAAATTGCTTTACAGCTATACAATCTGTTTCAGAACTATTTTTAAGATGTATAATTTTGTAGCGCAAAGTTTCAGTTGTCTGTTTCGGCGAAACGCGTAATGGGGTCAGCTTGGTTCGATGTTCATTGAGAAATTTCCCTTGAAAAGCCAAAATGGACCTCGAATTGGGCTAATTAACCATTTTCCGCTTTTTAATTATAATATATTTTTTGCCATTTACTTTGTTCAATCGATTAGTATTTTACTGTGTTTTTAATTTACTTTTTATTTCGCATATAGCCTATTATATTACCTCATTCAATTGATTTGTTTTTTTAAATACAGTGTTAAAATTTCCGAAAATACTTAGCATATAGCTTTTATTAATCGAACTTGTAAATATACATTTTTTTTTCCATTTCCACACTTTTCATAACTACTGAATATGCTTATGTTGGAGTTTTTTTTAGAGCCACAGCTTTTGGTAACTTTTAGGCGAGCTTACTACAAATTATCTTCTCAGTTCCTTAATTTTGCAGCACAATGCGCAAAAAATTTTGACCAAAATTGGTATTTTTTGTATTGTTCTTAAAACTTTTCTTCTAATATATATATATATATATATATATATATAAATTGTAGTAAGCTCGCCTAAAAGTTACCAAGAGCTGCTGCTCCAAAAGGTTTAACACGTTTTCAAAAATTAATACACATGAAAATCAAATCATTAGACATGTAAAACATTAATAAAATTAAAAAACAGAAAAAGTTAAAAAGTAAGCGGAAAATGGTAAATTAGCCCAATTCGACTTCCAAACCTGGCTTTTCAAGGGAAATTTCATTTATTTGAATGTCGAATCAAGCTAACCCCATTACGCGTTTCGGCGAAACAGACAATTGAAACTTTTTCGCGTTACAAAATTTTTTTTTTTTAATTAGATAAACTGTCTTGGAAAATTTTAATTTAGTCTCAATTCTATATATATATATAATATATATATAATGTTGTATGATCTTAAATTCGCTTAGTTCGAAAACAAGTTTTTCTAATACTTGCGCAATAGCTGCAAAGTAATGTAATAATAATTTTATTTACTAAAGAAATATTGATTATATTATCTCCTAATATAAATTTGGTAGAAGTACCAAAAATGAGTGAACCCATATGTAGGAAGTTTAATTCCGAAAATTTTGTTTTAAAATAATTTGTATGTAAAATATTAAAAATGTTTTACGGGGACTTGAATTAAATCATGAATAACGAAATTTCAAACTTTGAAAAAGAAATTAAATTAAAAGCAAGTAATTATCGCTGTTGATCGGAAATTAGTTGACTTTTCAAGGGGAACAAACCAACTCCCGTTCAATGAACAATAATTAATAAATACGAAGCTGTTTCGTCTTTTACTCAAGTAAGAATGGTTATGCCAAATTGGCAAATCAAGTAGGCCAAATAGTTCCGTGAAGTGATGGGATTAAGAACCAAAGAACTCATTCTGAATAAGGTATTTTCGCTAATACAAATTTTGAGTGAAAAGCAATTTATGTAGTAAATTTTAAAAAATACTTGAGTAAATGTCCCCCGACACCTTCGCTTTCATGAATGTTAATTCAAAACTATTTGTATAAAAATTAAACAGTGCTAATCTGACCTCCATATATATATGGAGGTCACGAATATGATAAAAGGTAATAATCATACAAAAACATACGCGCTACACGCCCACAAAGACAAAGACAAAAAGATGAAACGCAGGTCATAAATAATGAGGATTTATTAGCAGAATATTTTGAGCTACATGAAAAGGCTTAGTATATGAAACTCTTGTGAAATCAGGAGTAGACCTAGTAATACGCATGGTTGCTGCAAGTGGGTGTTGTTGCATATTCTTACAAACGTTCGTCGAACGATGCGTCGTCGTTGCGAGGCGTTTACAACACTTCCAAGCCGCAACAGTTTCATTTCAAATAATACTCTTCTTTTTCTAATAAATCATTATTCTTTGAGACCTGTCCTGCATCTTTCTGTCTCTGTCTCTGTGAAAGTGTAAAGCGACGAGGTAGCTAATGCGACCTTATTTTCCTATGTGATTGTTGCCTGTTATCTCGCCCTCCATGCATATTTCTCAACAATAGTTCTGAAACATCCTGTATGTAATTTAGAAATATTTGGGAAGCGGGAAGCTTTGAAACTTAGATGTTACCTGACAGCAGGAAATGCATGCAACTACAAAATTATTGTATCATTTACTACTATTGTATTATTCATCACTATCACAAGGCCGCAGGACAGATTTAACGTAAGAAATAAGGTATTAATTAATTAAAATAAAACTTAGGCAATTGCTGCAGTTAGTTTCTTTAATGAATTTCGTGAGTCCCGCTCTTATTTATTTATTTTTGTTGCTGTTGTTCTTTTACCTGAGTCTGCTAATACTTAATTCAATAATCATCACTGCCAATGCTTGGTACTCATTGCTCTATTTAATGATACTCGTACATTTATCAAATATCTCGCCAAATAGATAATGACTATTTAGCTTCACTGTGCTATTTGGAGAGAAGCGTAATAAAAATGAGCAATGATTATTGAGCTCTTTTGGCATGTATTGCTTTATTTAATAATGCATTCATCAAATATCCCGCCAAATAGCGCAATGAGTATTTGGCTTCATGTGTTATTTGGCGATACGCCTGATAAAATTGGGTAATGATTATTGCGTATGCTTGGCGTTCATTTCTCTCATTAATAATACGTTTGTCAAACATCTCGCCAAATAGCGCAATGACTACTATTTAGCTTCACTCTGCTGTTTGGCGAGATGCTAGATAAAAATTAATAATCATAATTGCGCTAGTTGGCATTCGTTGCTCTATTTAATAATACAGTTTTCAAATATCTCGCCAAATAACACAATGATTATCTAACTTTATTAGATTATTAGATTAGTTATTAGATTTTAAAATTTGGCGAGGTGCTTGACAAAAATGAGTGATCATCATTGCGCTATTGGCATTCATTGCTCTATTTATTAATATATTTATCAAATATCTTACCAAATAGCGCAATAATTATTTAACTTAAATGTGCTATTTGGTGAGATGCTTGATAAAAATGGGTACTCATTACAGCGGTACTTGGCAATTAATACGTTTATCAAATATCTCGCCAAATAGCACAATTATTATTTAAATTCACTGTACTATTTGGCGAGGTGCTTGACAAAAATGAGAGATCATCATTGCGCTATTGACATTTATTGCTCTATTTATTAATATATTTATCAAATATCTTACCAAATAGCGCAATAATTATTTAACTTAAATGTGCTGTTTGGTGAGATGCTTGATAAAAATGGGTAATCATTACAACGCTACTTGGCATTCATTGCTGCATTTATTAATACATTTATCAAATATCTCGCCAAATAGCACAATGAGCACAACTTCACTGTACTATTTGGCGAGGTGCTTGATAAAAATGAAAGGGTATTAACTGGGTATTTTCTCCGCAGACCCGGTTACGAAGAGCTACTAAAGTACGGAAAGTGGCTAAAGACGGAGGCTCCTAGAGGATACGAACACCTCAGATATAAGTAAATTGATTTCATATTATGAACCATATTTCGTAATATTATATTTCTGCCCATTAAATTATATGTTTAGTAAATTTTAAAATATTTTAGAATTTTACACAATTTTAACACCTCCCCCACCCACTTCTGACCAAACTTAACAGAATGATTTTATTGCGAACTTCGTTTAGAACGTACGCCTAAACATAAAAAAAAATAATAATCTTTCGGTCCCATCCGATATATTATATACTTAATTTTATTTTTTACGGCTATAACGAATCCCAAATATATACAAATCTGATATATGGAACTTCGCGGATATATTCGACTGTTTTTGTTTTTGTTTTAATTCATCAGTTATTTTTAATTCATGTGTCCTTTTTGTTTATGTAAGCCATTTTTTATTTTCGATTCATCAGTTTTTTCGTCATTAGTCATTTTTAATTCCTCATTCCTTTTTATTCATCGGCTTATTTTTACAGTCATCAATCATTTTTTCTTTCCTTTATTCATTAGGGATTTTTTCTTCAACAGTAATTTTTTAAATCATCAATTATCTTTTTATTTATCAGTCTTTTTTACTTCCTTGTACGAAGTAAAAAAAAAATATTGACATCGGGGGGGGGGAAGGTTATTAGATTTTAAACGGAAATATCTAGCTTAGCAAGCAGTTCCCGAATCACTTTTGACTATTTCTTTGCGTGACAACAGAATAAAGAACTTTTATTCTAAAAAAAGTTTTAAAAATGGATTTTTTTCCCTACACTGTGCTCTCATTCAATTTTTTTTCCGCGAACGTTTTGCAAGCTTCTGCAGGCATTGCCCCCAGTTGACGAATCCTCGCTTTTCTTGGCGCGTTGATACATTTGACACAGAATCTTTTTTTTTTAATTTTTAAAAAACAAATCCTTCTTCGTAGGGCCTCACCAGTCGTTAAGGTCGCTGATTACTGGTAGTTCGACCTGGTTTTTCATTCCAGACAAATGAGTTGTTTACATGGTTGCTTTTCGTGTTTCCTCCATACGTAACATAAATACTAGCTAATTTTTCTTAGAAAGTCCTCCACGAAGGCATCGTTCCGTCTAGGTAGACAGCCCTCGTGTCCTATCATAATGAATAGCCTAACCTAAGCTTCTTCGGAGTGCTATAAGGCTTCGGAGTGCAGCCTTCACATGCAGTTGTCTTTACACAAAAAAGAAAATTTGTTACAAAAATAAACAAATGATAATTGCGACACAAAGAGATTTGTATAACTATCATGGACTTCTTCAATGGCAACAAAAAGGGGAAACGTAAAACACTCAATGTTTAAACTAACATTAGTAGTGTCGATACAGGATGATCATAAAACAGGTTCCCCGATATATGAGCCCCAAGAGGTCTATATACTGAATCAATCAAAATCAAATTTCAGATATTTTTATCTGAAGGTTTGAGTTCGAGATTGGGCTGATTTAAAACAATAGAGCTCTCACGGATACGACAACATTTCGAAATTTTCGTATAGCAGCACCCATGTTTTTTTCATGTGCAAACTGATCCGCGCATTGAAAAGCCATAAATGGATTTGGAACGATTTACGTATGACGAAAATTGCTGGTGTAAAACATTTGCCAAGAAGATAATTATAAAAGACAATGACAACACTAAATAGGAGAAGCAAAAACAAAATTTCATTAAAATTACAAACTTTCAGCGTGTACAAACCTTCAAGATAGCGTCATCTCCCATAACTTTCCACTTTCATGGCTATCGAGCTTGCATGCAGGAGACTGTTGAGAAAAATAGCGAGCGTAACATCGCAGGAGGAATCTGTGTAACTTCACATGTTATGGCACCTTTCAGTCCTGACAAATCTCGTGGATTTGATGTACACACCTTAGATGTGAGACAAGCCCAGAATCAGAAATCCATCGGTGTGAGATCGGAGGATCAGGGTGGCCAAGAAACTGCAAAGTTATGGGAGATTACTCTGTCTTGAAACATTGCACTTGTTGGAAACTTGTAATTGCCATCAAAGTTTTTCTCTCTGTACTCTCTTCTGTTGTCATTGGTTCTTTACAATACTCTTGCTTGCAAATGTTTATGCCGACAATTTACGTCATATGTTTATTATTCCAACACCATTTACGCCATATTTCAATGCGCTAATCAATGTGCGCAGGAAAATGTGGATGCTGTCATTCGAAAATTTCGAAAATGTTTCACCGTAACCGTAAGCATATTTCACAAGCGCACATCTGTGTAGCCACCGAGGGAGTGGCTTCTAGGATGGACCAATGAGGATCCGGTAATATTTCTGTCATGTCACATGACCTTTCGCGTGCTTTAAGATTTAAGCAAGATGGTTGAAAATATTCTGCAACGCAATTTTCTGTACAAAATAAACTTTTCATTGCGAAGTTAGATCAAATATAGGCAATTATGAAGATTTCACTACCTGGTTGAAATAAATCCAAACACATGTTGGATACTTCGCAAAAATATCGATGTGAAATATTACTTAATAAGTGGTAAATAAGATGAAGAAAGAAATATGTGATAAACATCTGAGCCCAAATGCAATCTTTACATAAAACTATGCGTATGAGAAAAATATTTTCACCAGTCATATATGTAAACAGAAGTCAGGACTTTTTATTGCAGTCTATATGAAAAAGATGTGTTATAATAATAACCATTGCAGAATTTTATTCAATGCGAACTTTTACTAATTTACACTCGTATACATTTAGTGTGTTAAATTTCACATTTAATAACTGCTCTCTCACTCTTAAATACTACCCTACACAAGAAATACTCATCAAACATTTATCTTTTTCACAACGAATATATTCAATTTATTTACATATAATTTTTAATGTTAGCAATGGATCAATGTATTCTGATTCTTACACTTTAAAAATCAAAAGAATGCAAGCACTGAAATAAGAAGATTAATTGTAACCCTTCAGCCATTCTCAGCTCAATTAAAAAAATATACACTTGAATTCTCTTAATCCACATAATATGCCGTGAACATCAATTCAAATATTAATGCGTGATAAAAATCACGAAAGTGAAATATCAGCGATTAATTAAAATCGGAAAACGAAAATACTACAAGATTTCTACTATTACGCCATATATTTATAACTGCGAAACAAATGCAAATTAAAACGCAAACAACATATGCTCACATGCACGAAGATTTAGCGTCACAAGAGCAACAGCAGCTCATTAGTTCATATTCGAAACCCCTCCCTCAGTGGCTACGCTGATGTGCACTTGTGAAATATGCTAACCGTAACTGTGAGTGCTGTTTTGCTTTAAGCCATCACAATTTCAAGAACTTGCCTTCAAATAAGAGTATCTGAAATTTCATTTCGACTGCTTGCGAGGATAAACTGTTAGATATTCAGGTACCGTGATGTTTTTATGACCACCCTGTATATATTGAAACTTGGAATAACGTACCAAAAATAATATAAATGGGAATAGCAGGAGTGCGACAACTTAACACGACTAACTGTATCGAAAAAAGATGGACGACGAAAGATAAGGTGGTCGTGCTTTCGACTAAGACGTTAAGATGAAACAACAAAGATGTAACCTCTCAGTCATCACTCTTTTTTTTTTTCATTTATAAATAGTCACTGATGTAAATAGTCACTAATGTATCTCCACCAATAACTAAATAAATTGCTTTATTAGTCACGCAGATATGTATCGTCAGCTTAGATATCCTCCTAGACGCCGAATTTACATAAATATAGCTAGGATGATCTAAAAGAAATAAGCTGATGTTTTTTTTTTCATTCTCCATTTTTAATTATTATTCAATACACGCGTAATTTTATAGAATTACATTACATTGTTACGTTTTTTTTTAATCACACCAGTTCGTACGGGGTTCGTGTGGATTTGGAGTCAATAACGACGACACTTGATGAAGTATCGAAACACACTTTATTTAGCCAATACTGGTCAGGACAGCTCCAAAGTCACGTTTTACAGTCGTCGAAGATCTACTATAAACACGCTGACACGATCAGCGACACAGGCTTCAGGTTATCAGGCTATCACGGTGGAGAGAGCTTCACTGCAAAGTACCAGAGTACAGCTCCCGGCTCTGCTCGGTCGTTCTCGGAACTCCACGTACTCTCGAGACTCTCCACGCTACAACTCTCGATGCACTCGACGACACACAGAGCACGGCTCCCGACTCTTCTCGGTCGTTCTCGGAACTCCACGTACTCTCGAGACTCTCTATGCTACAACTCGCGATGCACTCGACGACACACGAGCACAGCTTCCGACTCTTCGGTTCAGTCGTTCCCGGAGCTCAACACGCTCTCTCGACGATTCACTAACCGCGATACACTAAAAGACTATCTCGATGCACTCGGCACTCCCTGGCTGGCTGTCAACTCGATCGTCTCCGCACGGACTAACTAGATGAGTCACACTCTCGATACTAACTGACTCGCACTCTGACGAGACACACTCTCTATCAACTCGCTAGGCGAGACACTCACTCTCGATACTGACTGACTGCGGACCAGAAAGGTATATATAGCTTTCGGCTTGTGTTCGAGAACAATCTGGGCTAAGCCGGTAAGAATTCGTTCCAGAAGGTTCTCCATCAGTAAATGGTATATCGCCAATTTTGTCGCAAAATGTCGCCAAATAGGCGATTTCTCGCCAAATGTGGCAAGCCTACTCTCGACATTTTATGGCAACCCTAAAACTGCTTTGCGGGGAAGCCATCTCACGGCGCTTTGATATTTTGTAAAGCGCGGTGAGATGGTGATACATCACATGATATATTTTTTCACTTTAGAAATGCACAAAAGGTATATAACATTCTCATGTTAATTTAAATTTATATTTATTTAATATCCCATTAAACATTTTGTCATTTCACCTGGGTCATCTCTATTCATAACCTTCTACGGGGAAACCATATTAAACTAAAAAAGAGCCTTATTTTTAATTGTTAACTTTTAATGGTTTCGAAACGAGATTTTGCATCGAGG